ATATGTATCTCTATCTCTATCATCTATCTCTATCTGTATCATATATATATATATGACAAGGACCAGAGAAATGGTCCAGCAGTTAAGAGCTCTAGCTGCTTTTCCAGAGGACCCGGGTCTGGTTCCCACTACCCACAGAAGGTTCATAACCGTCTGTAACTTGAGTCCGAGAGCATCTGATTTCCATTTTCTGGCTTCTGCAAGCACTACACTCATGTGGTACACAGACAAGCATGCAGGCAAAACACCCGTAAAATTAAAAAAAAAGCATCAAAATAAACAAATAAACACAACCAAACCAAACTGGTCATGCTGAGGCAGCTGAAGAGCAGTTCACTATGACAGCAATTCAGAAGCTAGCAGACAGGATGACATACTGGGGGCTGGGGAATCACCATGCTTCAGAACACACATAACGTCTATGCATGTTACCTCTGTACTTTGTAAGAGGGCTGTCCCCAGAGAGGGCAACTAGTGCAGCAGCCACAGGTTGAAGCTTAAGAATACCTGATCCTGTTCTGTGGGCCACAAGTCACAAATCACAGACAAGGGTAGAGAGGGCAGGGTTATTTATAAAAGTGGTTTCTAAAAATTGTAAGTATTAATGGGCATTCATATATGATGCTATGTTGCTAGCTTCTTATAGTCTTAAAATATTTAGAACTTGGCATAACAAGAAATCAAAAGAAAGTGATTGTCTCATTCATTCATTTATCCATTCATAATTCAATAACTATTTACTGAATGTTTCTTCGTGATAAGCACTGTGTCAGGTGGGCGTGCAGACGTGGCCTATCCTGGTGGAGTGGGCAGTCTTATTCCCTTAGAATTTGCCTATCTGCATTCCACACAGCAAAGATGAGGTAAAAAGAAGAAAACTGTACCCTCCAAAACACTCATGGGCTCTAGCCTTGAGCCTGACTGCTCTCTGCCCACTAGCTGTGTAGCTTTCTACCCTGGGCAGACAATTTGCCGAAGGTATGAGGGCTGTTGGAGGTAAGCATACCAATTGAGAAGATACTCCAAGTTTTAATGTTTAAAGAGACTGAAACCATGACAAAATTACTCAATAATGTATTTATCTATTATTTGTGAAGTTAGAAATAAGTAGCAAATCAGGAAGGAAAGCAAACAAGGAATTTGGCCATGATTTATATTGTGCTTGCCTCTCAGAGGCAAGCTTACGTCATCATCATCATCATCATCATCACCACCATCACCACCATCACCACCATCATCATTTTCTCCTCCACCTCTTCCTTCTCCTCTTCCTTTTCTTCAAACCAACTGAGAACCAGCAGAAAAAATTTTTTCCAGCTTAGCAAAATACACACTGTACACACACGTACGTGGTCACACAGATTCACAAAGCCACTGTCTCCAGAGCACAACCTCTGAGATACACAACTGTGAGTTGTCTATATGCTAGATATTCAATTCCTTCCCAGTTAAACACCCAATTATGCCAAATGATAAGAAAGAAATGAACAAGAAATGTGCACCCAGAGAGTGAAGAGCAAGCTGCAATGTAAAGAAGACATTTTACCCTTCCAAAAGGTGGGGATTCTGCTCTGGGGTGGGAATGAGTTTGTAGGAAGAAAAAAGAAATTTCCTGCTTCTAGCTTTCCATCCTTCCTTTGTACAATCAACACTTGGGAACACGTTTGTGTTCCCCTTTTGAGTGTATAATGACTCGCTTAGTGACAAGTAATCAAGCTGACAAGTAGAGAGAACATTTTACACAGCAGACCTCAAGTGAACATTAGATAGAACCGAATAGCCAGAGGCCGGAGATCTTGCTGTTGCAGCTACGCGGCAATCCCCACACCCTCACCTGTCAAACATGGCCAGAAGAAGACTCAGAGTGAGCTCCGGTGCTCTTGGGTGTACTGGGGCTGGATTTCCTATCCCAGTTCTCTGAAACAGCTCCCGGAGCTCCTGAAAAAGCTGCTGCCCAGAAATGGAGGTGTCTGAGCTCTCCCCAAAATGTCCATACCATAGAACCTGCTGAATCAGGGAGCTGTCCATCAAGTCCACTGCAGGAAGCAAACAAAAGATGGAGCCATATTTTCTAATGAGAGCAAAGGGCTTCAAACACACACACACACACACACACAAATTTCCCAGTGTTTAAGTGAGAATGCTGTTTGTTTGTTTGTTTGTTTGTTTGTTTTACAGTGGATTTTTCTTAAAGGGAATTAAATATGTTCACCATGGACCTAGATTTTTTTCTGAAACCGTATGTCATTAAGGCCTGAAAAACACTATTAGGAGGACAGTTGCTGGGGGTAGGGCATGGATTTTATAGACTGAAGGTAAAAAGTGATGGAAACTTGAAGAATAAACCTTCTAAGGCAGTTGAAACCCTGTGGTGATGAAGTGGGAGAGAATCTTTTTTTTTTGCCCTGTGCCCTGGGAGGACTAAACGTTGGCCTTTCCTATCTGAATACAGCTTTCCTGCCTACAGCTTAGCTTCAGAGGGGATGTAGAGTATTGGAATAGTTCCCATAGTAAAGAATAAATCTTAATGGCATCCTAAAATCAGTGGCTGGCTGAATTACCAGACTGTATCACTCTTCTACAACAATATCAGTTTTAAAAATCTTGATTCCATCAATATTATTTATATGGTACTTCATAAAACTGTAAAACCAGGGCTATTTACAAAAACAGTGGCTTGTTTCTCACAGGCACACATATGTATTGCCATCATGTAAAAAAGTTTACAAGGCGAGGATTAGAAAGAAGAATGAAATCTAGCTAGCTCTGTAGATCCCTGCCAACAGAGGGTGACAGGCAAGTTTAATAAACACTCCCTGTACCACCCAAGAGGTAGGGATGTCAAGAGTCCCAAGAGCTGCTAGCATTTAAAATGCTTCAGCCTGCGAAATGATAAAACCCGGAGCTTCTCACTACTTCATAAATCACCCTCACAGATAAGGAATCACCAAGCATAATAAAATTTTTTATTTGTTTTCTGATATTGCTTTGAAAGGGAGAGTCTAGGGCATAGAGGAGCAGGTTTCATGAATGCCCCTTCAATAAAACCTGGCCAGGGGTGGTAGCAGCTGTAAACTTTTTTTTTTTAATCATTGATCACAAGCTTCTATCGTCTGGGCCTGGCATTTGGAATGCAGGGGGTTCTTGTCTTGTGAGAGTTCTAAATTACAACCATGCAGATAAAGGCACTGTCCATTAATCTCACAAGATTCCAAATGGTGATAGTCTCTGGCTCTTACTACATAGAGCCCCTGTCGTACTTTATGTTGGAGTTTGGGACTTTTTGTTTTTCAATACCCTTGCCTACCTTTCCTATTGCTGTCAGTGAAGAAACGTATGGATAGACTGTTCACCAACCCTACCTCTTGTATGTTACCGATGGGTTCAATGCACAAGTCCAGCTTTCCTGATCCAGGAACTTACCAGAGGGGCCAATTTTGCTTTTCTTCATGAACTGAGCATCATACATCATCAGGGTCAGATTGCTGACCCTTCTTGAGTGTTACAAAGAACTTGTACTTACATTGACAAAGAGTTTGCACAGATCGTAATTTGAAGGCTGTTCTATAGACAGAATTCTCAATCCTATTAAGAGCACCTGCAAAGAAAACATGAAGTAGAGTGGATACAGTTTATATCATTGAGCAAATCCCACACCCCAGGAGAGAATGGAAGGGCTCCTAGAGCCTTATCTTGTAAATGAGACAATTAAGACAGACGGTACACTATTTTATCTGTAAACGTCAATGAAAGACACATAGAAGTTTCACAGTTCAGCTTTTCGTTGTCTCACAACAGATTTCTTGTCTGATAAGACTGGTGATCAGGTTTCACAGCTAGCAAAATGCAAAACTGCAGACTAGATCGCCCCCTGTGTTCATGTTGGTAATGCAGTTTAATGAAGCTTTAGAAAGTCTTACACATACTCAGGTAGAATGGTCTTCAGACGGCCTCTCCTTCAGTTTCTGTCCTTCACTTTGTCTCCATATTTGCTCCCTTGAGTATTTTGTTGCTCCTTCTAAGAAGGACCGAATCACCCCCACTTGGTCTTCCTTCTTCATGAGCCTCATGTGGCCTGTGAGTTGAATCTTGGGTATTTCAAGGTTCTGGGCTAATATCCAGTAATCAGTGAGTGAATACCATGTGTGTTCTTTTGTGATTGGCTTACCTCACTCAGGATGATATTTTCTAGTTCCATCCATTTACCTAGGAATTTCTCGAATTCATTGTTTTTAATAACTGAGTAATACTCCGTTGTGTAAATGTACCACATTTTTTGTATCCATTCCTCAGTTGAAGGACATCTGGGTTCTTTCCAGTTTCTGGCTATTATAAATAAGGCTGCTATGAACATAGTTGAGCATATGTCCTTGTTTTATGTTCGAGCATCTTCTGGGTATATGCCTAGGAGTGGTATAGCTGGATCCTCAGACTGAGTATCCATCCCATGTGCAATCACCAAAGGTAGATGCTGATGTGGAAGTCAGGAAGTGCATGCTGATAAGCGCCTGATATAGAGGTCTCCTCAGAGGTATTCAAGAGTCTGACATATTCAGAGGCAGATGCTCACAGCTAACCATTGAACTGATCATGGGGTTCCCAATGGAGGAGTCAGAGTGAAGACTGTAGGAGCTGAAAGGGTTTGTGGCCCCATGAGGAGAGCAACAACACCAACCAACCAGAGCTCCCAGGGTCTAAACTACCAGCCTGGGAGCACTTAGGGAGGGATCCATGGCTTCAGCTGTATATGTAAGAGTGGAGGGCCCTGCTGAGCATAGGTGGAAGAAGAGATCCTTGGTCTCATGAAGGCTAGACGCCCCAGGGGGTGGGAATTTGAGGGTGGAGGTGCTTGTGGGGTGGGTAGGTTGGGGTACATCAACAGAGAAGCAGGAGGAGGGGTGAGGGGATAGGTGGTTCCTGGGTGGGTGGGGGATGGGGTAAGGGGACAACATATGAAGTGTAAATAAAACATCCAATAAAAAAAAGAAAAAAAGAAAAAAAAGAAGGTCTTACACATGAAATGTTCAGTTTATTGTAAGCCTGCTAAAACTAGTTATTGATGGTGCAAAGCAGTGGTCCTCAGATTGTGATTTCTGGCTCAGTGGCATCTGCATCACCTGAGGCTTGTTACAAATTCACATTCTAACATGTCTGTAGCATGTTGCCAACACACTTCAGGGGCAGGTGTAGGCAATCTGCTCTTGAACAAGGCCCTGAAGTAGATGTATGTAAGCTAAAGTTTTCAAAACTTTCTGTATTAAAAAGTATTATTAATTCTAGAACTTGTAATGACTTTTGGGAATTATCTCTAGACAATAAGAGTATTTTCAGATCTTGATATCAGCCAATGATGTCTTTTTTTCAGATATTTGAATATATGTATAGATTACGGTTCACAAATAAACAGAAAATAATCTACTATTCTGTGCCGCATCTAATTTGTGGATACTGATTTAGTTGAAGACTCTCTTGACAAGATCTTGACAAAGAGGAGACCCTTTAGTGTAGAAAGTCAAGTGATGACTCTAACGTCTGGTATTTTACTTATTAGCTCTTTACTAGTGGTATATTACAGCAGGGATATAGGGTACTATTGGAATTCCTTTCTACTTTTACCAAGTATGTCAAGATATTGTTTAACATGTAATCAAATTATTCATGATATAATTTTTTTATTATATTTAGTTTTTGAAATATTTTAATTTGTGGCACATCTCAGTTCATAGTAGCTATAGTTCAAGTATTCAAAAGTCACATGTGGCTAAAGACTGTGTATTGTCAGTTCAGCTTAGGAGAGAAGCTACACGTATTGCTAATTGGTTCTCTAATTTTTGGTTATGCATCTTGAGTCAGGGCTGCTGCTTGAGCTGAGCTAGAGATTCAGGTGTCATCAGTGCTAGTTGTGGACAGTATCATGTCCATCACTTAGATTGCTTGAGTAGAGTGAGTAGAGTGGATAGAAAGTAGCACTAAGTAATGAATGTGGGGAACATAATCAGTCAATTAACTAAAGAGGAAAAGAAGTCCAAGAGGATATATAAGCAAGAACACCAAAGATAGTGGGAGAAAGCAATGGCTGAAGGTCAAAGAGGGCAAACTTTAGGAAGCAGAGGCAAGCTATTGGTTTGCTACCTACAGGCCACATGAACATCATCTGTGAGCTACCATACTATCTGTTTATGATCGTCAACTTGATTCTTGAAATCTACACAAGAGTGGGTTTAGGAGAACCAGGAGAGCATCCCTCAATGCACAGGGCTGAATGGAAAATGGAAGGCCAAGAATAAACCGCAAAGCAGATGATGTTTTCAAGACCTTTAATTTGAAGGGAAGGTGAGAAAGCCAGAATAAACAGTGTATAAAATGAAGACTAGATTGCAAAAGCAGGAGACATTCTAGAATATATATATATCTCATGGGTTGGGGAGGAGGATCCAGCAAAGGAACAGATGGAGGACTCAAGAAGTGAGGAGTCTAGGTATATTTGTCATAGCCAAGTCCCATCGAGGGAGCACATGTCCCTGTAGCGTGCTTCACTTTTCTTCTGTTGAACTACTTTCCCCTAATCTGTTTCCCCTTAAACTCTATTAATGTCGGCTGTCCTCTGTCGGTTGGAAAATGAAGCCAGAGACTACACATAGTAAGGAGTGTACACATCAACGTGTGTGTGCTACTTAATCCCCGAATCTTGGTCCAAGGACTCCATGTTCAAGGTGTTGGGCCAGCAGACTGAGTTTTTCCTGCTGGATTTCAACTTGGAAATGTGGATTAGAGCAGCAATCGCTGCCCTATCAGGGTCTTTTCTTGAGAAGGAAACAAGGAAAAGGAGCCCGGATGTGCTTGCGTGCATCGCTTCCTGGTGACGGCTTCTGAGCATAGCACAGGCTTATTCTTTTCTTTCACTTTATCACATTAGTTTTAATTAACAGACACAATTCTAATGTAATAACCTTTTCTAATGTATAACCTTTTCTCAGAAAAACATGAGATCAAACATGGGTCATTGTATATGCTGGGCAAGCTACTCTACCACCGGGCTATCCCCTAAACCCTACTTTGTGTAGTATGCTTTTAAAAGAGGTGTGCGTATTGTGGATCAGTTACACAGATTTAACCAATACATGCTTCTCTCACGTGATTATACTGTTTTGGATGTTGAGAACAGTTAATATATAGTGTCTAAGCAATTTTTAAGAACACAGTGGCTTACTATCATATTGTCATCTCGTTATAAAACAGCTCTCTCCACGGAGTTATCAGTGATACCAGGTAAAGCCTCTTTGGGTAAAGCTCTCTGTCCCAACTGAATACCACTGACCTTAATGGGGAGAGAGGCTGGATGGGATAGAACGCACAGCTGACAGAGTTAGTTTTTCTGAGAATCCTATCATCCCTCATTCCTTGAGAGGAACACTAAATAAAAGCATTGATGATGGTGTCTGTTCATGTCTGAGAGCTACTGTTTTCTTTATGAATGGGGATAAGCTCACTCACTCAATAGGTGGTAGGGTGTACTGTTCTTCCATCATCATAGAACAAGCAAGAGTCACCTGGATAGAGAAAACCTCAACTGAGAAAATGCCTCTATTCAATTGGCCTGTAGACAAGTCTGTGAGCATTGTCTTGATTAATGATAGCTGGGTGAGGACTCAGACCATGGATGGTGCCATCCCAGGCAAGTGTTTCTGGGGTTATACAATAAGACAAGCTGAGAAAGTGGGGTGCTCAGGAAACCAGTAAGCAGTGTTCCTCCATGGCTTCTGCTACAGATCTCACCCTGCAGTTCCACAATGATTGACTTTAAGCTGGAACATGAGATAAACCCTGTCCTCACCCAAGTTGCTGTTGGTCATGGTGTTTACTACAACATTAGGAAGCAAGCTAAAAAAGCGGGTGTAAAATCTTCAGGAATAATGAAGTTTGGATTAGGTAGAGCTCTTGAGTGAGAGAGGAAACAAATTGGGAAATTTGGAAAGAGCTGTCCTTGTATTTTGTATTCTGTATTTTGAACACTTTGTATATTGGATATTTTCTGTGGTGACAAACTCCAGCTAAATAGTTTATAACCATAATGTTCCTTCTGAAGCAAATGTTTTGTATATGGCTAAGCTCTGAGCTCAAGACTGACATATTAATTATGCTAAGGAGAAGAAGACTTCAAAATACAACTAATCTCAAATTTAATACCAGCTGATTTCTAAGCTGCAGGACGTAGGGAATAAGTGGGGAAATTTTGTGATTAAGAACACAGTCAGTCATTCAGCCTTTGCTAAGTGGCCCCAACAGGAGTGAAATAAGGAGCAGTTCAGTGGATTTCATTGGCTCAGGCATACATGGCAGGAGAATTATAATAACATTTGTCTGTTTCTTCTCCAGACGGCAATTGGAGAAGTTAAAGGGTGAAAAGTTAGCATTTTCTTGATCATGCTTGCGTGTGTTCCAAAGTTCAAACTCTTCTAGTTCTTTATCAGAGAACTAAAGCTTCTTTGAATTTAAGGAGCAGTCCGTGAACCTTCAATCCAACAGAATTTAATGAGTTTAGACTCTGGTTGAGTGCAAAGCCAAAGTTAGCACCACCAAGAAATAAAAGAATAGAGAAAGATTTATTGCTGACAGTATGTAAAGAGACCATGAGACTTATTTTCTTTTTTCAGTTTTAAAAATTTTTTTATTGGACAATTTATTTATTTATATTTCAGATGTCATCCCCTTTTCTCATTTCCCCCCCCAGAATAAAAAAAGCATGGACTTTTATTTGGGAAGGGCAGAATATCTCCTCTCTCTCTCTCTTTCTCTCTCTCTCTCTCTCTCTCTCTCTCTCCCTACCTCTGCCCCTATCTATCTGTCTGTCTATCTATCTATCTATCTATCTATCTATCTATCTATCTATCTATCTATCATCTATCTATATCAATATTTATATCTATGCAATTGAGGGACAGCCACATTTTTGAACAAGTTAAAAACCACCTTACTGACATATTTGGTTTAAACTCACAGATCCAGAAGGAAAGATGCCAGGTATGTTTTTTTGAGTAATCTTATCCCCAGACATAGAGCAAATTCTTGAAAAGTTAAAGATACAGATACTTCTGGATGTGCTCATCTTGTGTAATGAAGGTGGCAGTCAGGACTGCCTCTAGGGATGCTCAATTTTCATCATAAAAGTTTAGTTCATAATGTCAGAGGTCCTGTGTAGGCTGCTGGAGAAGAATTGTCAACAACAGTCTTATTCAACTGCAAACTCTGCACACAACAATAGTTCCTGGCCAGGCAGTACTAATCCACTGGTACAACAGTGGTCCATATGTTATGGAGCTAGCCAATAGATTTCTGACAGTGTACAATGCCTGCTTCAAGGAAGCAATTCATAATTGCTACTGTGAGTCCAGCTAGAAATCCCAACGGCTGGGAGTATTGAACAAGGCAATGCTGAGCTAAGACAGGTTCATCTTTGCAGGTAGAGTGGGCCACAAGCCATACTCTGAATTTAACAGCTGGCTATCTGTATTAGAAGTTTCCACATCCATAGATTCAGTCAAGTGAAGGATAAAAAATAGCCATAAAATTGCATCTATACCAAACACAGACTTTTCTTTAAATTAATTCACAAATATAATAAGATCTATTTCCACAGACTATATACTTTATTAAGTATTATAAATAAACTAGGGATGATTTTCAGTATGGTCAGACATGCACCAAATCTGTGCAAGTACCAAGGACATTTTAGTAAGGGATTCAAACATTTTCAGATTAGGCTCTCTGGAGACTTAGAATCAATACTTTGTAAATACCAGAGAATATCTAAGTATATATTAATTCAATAAGCAGCACATGATCATGAGTCAAAGATCTCTATATGGATAAATGTGGGCTCTGCCTAAAGATTATCATCCAAGAAAGACACAGTGCTCAAAACTTCTTTGTGTCTGTCTTTTCTAATGAGCACTATACAAGCACATAACAGACCCCAAACTTTGATTTAACCCTTTTGAATTCGGTGTTTCCTTATGCTTTAAACATGCTTACATTCCAGACAACACTAGAGAATGGGAGAAGTCAGAAACATCTTAGCTCTGGAGGAGAACACACTGATGGTAGAGTAGAGCAGAAATAATTTATGAAAGTGTGATTTCTGGTGCATTTTGTTCCTCTGGAAATCAGCAGGTTTCTATGCCCTGATTTCTCTCCAATGCATCAAGCAGACACCGAGACTCAGCAAACCCAGGGCCTTGCAGGCCCCCAGATGCAGCTACTGTTGAAGGAGTCATGGAGCTGCACAACCATCTGCCCCTTCATTCCTGTCAAGTGATGCTTTACAGTGTCATCTGATGAAGTTATGCAGCATAACGTGGCAAGCTGTGGGACAACGTGCCGTGGAGAACGAGCGAGTACCCCGGTGACCTGCTGCCAGCCTCACCTCCTTGAGGCTCCACTATTTTTTTTTTTCTGGCAATAGGAGGAAAGTCAAGAAAAGGAGGAAATGCTGCTTGTCTCAGGCCTCAAGCCATGAACAAGCAGTGTGAGGTATTAAATCTATAACGGCAGAAGCTGTGTGTTTTCTTGTTCATAGAAGCAGTTTGAGAAACAAGTTTTGGTCCCCATCATCCTTATTTTTGTTCAGCTGCATCATCGTGCGTATTTTCCACAGATATCAAGGTGAATATGATAATGTCTTTTTCAATTTCCCACCATTAGTTTGTTATGTAGAACTTCACACAGTAGGTTAGTGGTCCTCCAAACATGGCCCGAGAAAGCCCTGTTGGTGTTGTCTGGGAACTTACAAAACTGGGAATTTCCGAACCATCCAGAAGCACCAAACCACAAACTTGGAAGGCAGAACCCAATATTTCCCCAGCCCCTGGATGTACACTGTATTGAGAAACACTGCATTAGGGACAGAAAATAGAACCGTAGATGGGTTGCCCACTGCTTTGTGTATAGCATATTGGTAGGATGGCTCAAATTTGAAAAGGCTAAAGATAACTTGAAACACTTATGTTGATTTTTTCAATAAAGAGTATGAGATCATAAAATTTAAAGCCGAACAACTCAGGTTAACAGTCTAGATTTGCTAAGGTAAAAAAGTTGCAAGTAAATTCAAAACTAAAAATGCCACTGACCCCTCTGGGGCTTACTGTGACATTTAGATATGCTGGAAACAGTGGAATTAGTTTCCCCAAATGTGTTTTTACCAAGTATCTGTCTAGTGATAGCTGGGGATCTTTCGCTCACCTTTGGGTCCATATTGGGCTGTGATCTTAACTTGATAAAGCATACATAGGGATGACATTTTAACAACAAGATAGAAATTGTTGTGATAAGAATAGTAATTTACAATATAATTACATTGATGCTAAGATATTTTTGTTAAATTATTATTAGGATTTTAGAGATAATAGATCAAATATTCTTCTGCACATTATGGATTTCTGTTTAGAAGAGAAAAGATCATTTTAGCCATCCAATAAATTACTTCTCACCTACAAATTTGCCCCATCTCTACTTTGTGACTCAGGGGTCTAAAACCACATCTGTGTTTAAATTTTTGTCTGCAATTGATGTCAAAAAGCCTAACAATAAATACTCACCTTGCTTACTTGAGTCCATCTCACAGAATTCCTGGGATGATGGGACAGATGGCAAGATGGTCCTTGTGACTAGAAATGAACCATTTTCTGCAGAAGTGTTTCACAGAGGAAGGATGATGGATGAGGGGCTGCCAACAAATCATTCACCTGTGGAGCAGCGAACACAGGTGTGCAGGGAAGACCATTACATCCCTTGGGAGATAAAAACAAAGAATATTGGTATAGAGATTGCTTTCTCAGAAAACTAGGAATAGTTCAATTAAGCTAATACTTAAAAAAATAGGAGGCAATTGCATTTTTAAAAGTGGACTGAATTCTCATTTGAAGAAAATATTAAGTTTACTTGAATGTTAAGGGTTAAATATGAAGGCCTCAATTGTTTAAATTTATAGTAAAACGATGCCAAATCATTCTATACATAAGATTTTTAACTGAGATTATCTAGCTATCATACATATGCATACATATATGTCTACATAGAATTTGGCCCTTAGTTCAGAAAAGTCAGTGAATTAGCTCCCTGGCTAATAACTATAAACTATACTCTTTCAACAAAAAGGATATTATGTGTGGGCTAGAGAGATGGCTTAGTGGTTAAGAGTACTTGTTTTCATGGAGCATCTGGGTTTGGTTTCCAACACCCACATGGTGGCTCACAGCTATCTGGACCTCCAATTCCTGAAGACCGAACCCCTCTTCTGACATCTGTGCATTCATGTGATGCACATGCACACATGCAGGCGAAACACTCACACACAGAAAATAAAATGACCTAATCTAAAAGAAGTTTTGAAAAGAATATTATGACATAAGAAAGTTTTATACAGTTCTAAAAAAGGACATTCATTAACAACAGCAGTTGAAGACGTTCAAAAAGTTATACACAATAATTCAATTTAAATAATATTCTCACCTCCTCCAGTAAATAAATGAGTTAAAGTAAAAAGTCATGGAGGCTAGAGAGATAAGTCAGTGGTTAAGAGCACTAACTGCTCTTCCAGAGGTCTTGAGTTCAATTCCCAGCAACCACATGGTAGCTCACAAACATCTGTAATGGGATCTGATGCCCTCTTCCGGTGTGTCTGAGGACAGCAATTGTGTGCTCGTATGTAAGATAAATAAAAATCATTTAAAAATTGTAAAAAAAAAAAAAGCTGGGTGGTGGTGGCACATGCCTTTAATCCCAGCACTTGGGAGGCAAAGACAGGCAGATTTCTGAGTTCGAGGCCAGCCTGGTCTACAGAGTGAGTTCCAGGACAGCCAGGGCTACACAGAGAAACCCTGTCTCAAAAAACAAACAAAAAAAATTGTAAAAAAAAAAAGCACTTGGTAGATAAATATTATTTTAAATAAATGTATACCAGAAACTATTTATTTTCTTCTTTAAAATATAATAGTGAGCTGTGGATGCAGCTTGGTCGGTGGAGTATTTGTTTAGTGTGCAGGAAGCCCCCTGGATTTGATCCCAGTCCGTAGAAAGTAAGTATAAAGATGTGTGGCCAAAGCTTGGAGCTAGGTTCAGGGGCATGAGAAGCTCAAGGCAACACAGAAGCCTAGTCTATATGAACTTCCATCGTGGGTTATTAAAAAAAAAGAACTGCAACAAAATAATGGCAATAGTGACAATCTGAGACTTGTCAAGACTCAGAAAGCTTCCTAATATTTCAAGTAGAGTGTGTTTTGAAGCATTCAGCAAGAAAAATTAGGTCAGAACTCGCTTCAGTATCGGAGTGCTTCCACATATGCCCCCTAAAACCTCCATGTGGTATGGAAAGTGGCCTCCCGTCCAGTCTGGACAGCTGGAGATGCACCGAGGACAGCTCCTTACCTTTCTTAGTTTCCCTGGAGCAACACTTTAGTCAAACACTCAGCAGCTGTGACTCCCCTGTTGTGGATGCAGAGAAGGGTAAGGATAGCAGATGTCCAAGAATGACCTTCTCATGTAGGGATGATGTCTTCTCCTGACAGTTCAGCAACTCCAGAGTCAATTGAAGTTGCTCCACTTTTAAGAGCTCCAAGAAGTACATGCATTAGTAATCATATGCTGAATAATTTAGGGTCACTCATACGGCTCTGTTTCAAAGGGTCATTTCTGTATTAGTTTCATGTAATGAGGAGGGAAATAAAGCATCTCTCAGTTCTTCTGGGAGCGAGAATCACCATAGAGCTTAGGGAACAGTAACTAGGACCCCAAATCCCAAGTGATAGCACCTAGCAAACCAATCTAGAAAAGAGTTACACAGGAAGGGAGTCAAACTCATTTTATTAATTTTTTGGTAAATGTAGAGGTGTGGTTGTACATTTTTAAAGATACTAAATATAAGACCAATCACCAGAAGGATGATAATAATTTCTGATGAATTCACAATTCCTCCTAAGTTATATTATTTGATGTCTTATTTCTAAAGAAGTCCAGACTTAAAATTTCGCTGTTTTAATCTTGTTAGGATTTTTAAAAAGTGTTATCACACAAACCAAATGTATTAAAACTTTACCATTAAGGATGCCAAGCAACCATGGAATCAATTGTAACTTACTCCAAAAACATCTGTGGCTGACTGGGTGGGCCAGTGGGGAAAAGTACTTACTCTTCCCCAAGCCTGGGAGTCTGAGTTTAATCCTAGAACTTACATGGTGGGAGGAGAAAACCAGCTCCTACAAATTGTCCTCTTTCTTGGCCCCCATGCACACACAAACACACACACACACACACACACACACACACACACGGTGGGGAGAATAAATAAAATGTAATTTCAAAATCAAGTGAACAAAACACTTGAACCAAAGTACAGGAACGTTACTTCATGCACAGGTGTGGAGTAGCTGAGGAGCTAGGATACCCGAGAATGCACGCTCAGCTATGACGAGAGCGCACACAGCCTTTCTAGAAAGTTCCATAATGAAGATCAATTTGGAATGAGTGTGAAGCCGAGGACAGCTTTTTGAAAAGCATTATTAGTACTTCACTATTAGTCTCTCCAAAGAGGAAATGAGCTCTATTTAAAAATGGAAATTGGTAAATTATGGGACAAGATTAGAATCACGTGGGGTGGAAAAATACATCTTAGTTGTCTGTGTCTATGTAAGCTATATTGTTTCCCTGTGAATAGGTTAAGACAAAAAATTCAGGAAGAAAGCAAATCTATTTTGCATTAACTCTCTAACTGGCTGAGAGGAGAAGATGGAGTTGAAACTCTATCTAGTTTTGTATATTGTATCTGCCTCAAGCCAACATGGTTCCTGGTATTGGCAATAGAAAAAAAATGTCTGAATGTTTTTCTAAATGATGCTGTGCTCAGATTTGGACAGATAGCTACCATGGACTAACTCTGTCAACTAAGATTCTGTACTCATAAAAAGAGTTGTCTGAAGTCCTAATCAAATTAAGGTAAATTAGATTACTTTTAAACACCAAGAATGAATAAAAGTATACTGAAAGTAATTTTGGCAAAGTGAACATTGGTAGTCTTAAACTTAGCTGGACTTCTGGTTTCAGTTACTTTAGACTAGTGGAACTTTGTAGCTACTATTGCAAACTGTGGCTCAAGCCCAAAGTCACATCAAGGTCTCTTCTCTCCTCCTAGTCCCAGTCACTCCTCCTGTCTTTTCTCTTCTGTGTGTGTGTGTTTTAGGTTCTTAATCAAATCTAGCTGTTGTCATTTTATATTGTAGACTGTCAAGACAAGATCTTTGCTAACATGGAAGTTTCTGAATATGCTGATTGGTAATCCAGTCTCTGCATCTGAAACAGCTCTCACCAGGCAAGCAGGTAGGAAGGGGGTCAGGCTTCCTATTCCATCATAGCCTGCCTTCAATCGGGTATAGGGATTCCAGAAACTAGATGACAGCTCCTTGTGGCAAATGGGTACTATTGGAGGCAAGCAGGAGATTGTACACTCTCTGGTTAAAACATTATATGTGAAGAATGTAACTTGGGGAGAGGGAGAGGGGGAAGGGGAGGGCGAGGGGGGAAGGGGAGGGGGAAGGGGAAGGGGAAGGGAGAGGGGAGAGGGGGAGGAGAAGAGGGAGAGAAGGAGAGGGGAAGAGGGAGAGAGGGAGAGGAAGGGGGAGGGGGAGGAGAAGAGGGAGGGGGCTCGAGAGATTATAATTAAACCTACATAGTCAGTCCCATATGTAAATAAAGAATACTTTATGAAATTGTTTATGTTGGATCATTTCAGAAAGAGGTTAACTTGTTAATGCTGATGCTTGAAAAAAAAATAGAAGCCATTACCAAGGACAGCATAAGAAATGAGCTAAAAATATAATGTCTGAGTCCACATAAGCTGTGTCTTCATGGTTTCCAAAACACAAAAGATTCTTATGCAAATACAATTAGAAGAAATACGAACATATACATTTCATTTTATGAGCTCAGCAAAAAGTTGAATGATGAAATAGAGGATCTCTCTCTCTCTCTCTCTCTCTCTCTCTCTCTCCATTCATTCAAACATATGCTTGTAAAAAAGTTTATGGGCCAATATTATTTACAAGCCTTTAAGGGGAAATCCTAAAGAGACTATGAACCATGCATTAAAGGACTCCTGTACCCGAGTAGCTTTAATTCTATGGACATAAGCAAAGATGACTGACATTTTGAAATCGATACCATAATATATTAATGAGTCCAAAAAAAGAAGTCTGGTATTTTAGTACATATTATACATGTATTTGGTATAAATATTATGTTTATAAATTAGTTAAGTTTAAATGACACAATTCTATAAATTGATGTCCTACATAATGTTTTAAGACACACACTGAGGAACAGATAGATTGAGTTAATATGATTCCTCCTCACACATTATTTTTTTTGTGGTAACAAAAAAACCAATCTACCCTTAGTGATATTTTAAAACACGTTGTTATAACCACCATATGGTTATGGCCTGCTGTGCAATAGGTTCCTTAGGCTTTTCCTGCTTAGCTGAAATTGCACATCCCTGGACCAACCAACATCTTCACAACACTAGAGACTTCCATCCTACTGTTGACTTCAGTTCAATGGAAATCTACATATAAATGAGGTCACACAGTATCTGAGTCTATGTGTCTGGCTTCCTGTTACATAACAATGTTCTGTAGGTTCACCAATATTGTTGAAAAGACAGGATTTTCTTTTTGAAAAGACCTAACAATATTGAATTGTTACTTGTTGACCCTTGGCCTGAGAACACAGACATCTTTTCTATGTGTTCATTCTGTTTCCTTTGGATATGTGCTCATTAGTGACAATGCTGATTCACATGTCACTTTGTTTTAAATTTATTTTCTTTTTTCATTTTTGTGCTCATATGCATGCATGTGTGTGTATGTCTGCGTGTGTGTATGTGTGTGTGTGTGTGTGTAGACGTGTATGCACATGTGGTTATATGCATGTGGTGGCCCTGGGTTGATGTTGGAAATCATCTTCCATCACTCTTCCACCTTATTCATCAAGGCAGGATCTTTCATTCAAACCCAGACATCACTGCTATGGGTAGTCTTGCTAGCCAGCATGCTCTAGAAATTGCTTGTCATTAGACCCACCCAGCATTTATGAGAGTTTCTTGTGATCCACACTGTGACAGTCCTCATGCTTGAGTGGTAAGCACTTTTACCACTGAGCCATATCTGCAGCCTTTACTTTTATTTTTCTTGAACAAGCTCCATACTGGTTTTCATAATGGCTGTACTAACATATTTTTATCAGCAGTGTAAGACAGTTTCTTGTCTTCATATTCTCACAGAGGCTTTTTATCTCTTATGGTTTTGTTACTGGCCATCTCAACAGGTGCAAGACCACACAGAAAGACCAATGAGAAGAGGATTATGATGTCCAGCCAACTGTGAGCTCCATGAATCTACGGCAACCCTGCTGTGGTGTTGTGAATTGTGGAGGTATGGGTTTCATCATCAGGATTGAATGCAGTGTTACACCCAAGTTATTCATGAGATCATTTACATTTTATTTTATACAGGTTATTAGGATTTAAACCAGTTTTAAGTTAGCATACAAAGTAGTGAACTCCACTAAGACGTTTTGATACATACCTATCGCAACATTTTGTTATTATTTGTATTAATCATTTTCCTCTATTACCATCTCCCATTCACTCTGACCCCACTTATTAGTTCCCTTCCTCTTGTCAAAAAGCCTTCTCTGCTTTCCTGTTATTCTCTCAGAGCTTTTCTTCCCTCCCTTTCCTGTAGGACATCTCCCTCCCCTCTCATGATCCCTTTTCTATCATCATAACCTATACACAACATTCATATTTAGATTCCATGTGTGTGGGAACAGGAAACTTTTGTCTTCCTAATTCCAGCTTATTTTGCTTCACAGAATGGTGTGCACTTCCACCTATTTCCCTGCAAATGTCAGGATTTCATTTTTCTTTGAGGTTGAGTAAATTCCATTGTATATACAACTAAATTGTCTTTATCCATTCACAGATCCCTGGATCAGTTCCTTATTTTGACTATTGTGAACAGTGCTGAAGTAAGCATGAATATGAGGTATATTGACTTAGAATCCTTTGGATAGATACCCAAGAGTGGTACAACAGAGTCATATGGTAGTTCTGTGCTTAGTTGGATTTTTTTTCCTTTCAGGAATTTCCACACTGATTTCTATGGTTGATGGATTGGTTTGCATTCCTACCAGCAGTGTCTAAGGCTCCTCTTTCCCTACTGTCTCAGCAGCACTTGTTGTCTTTAATTGTTGCCATTCTAACTGAGGTGAGATGGAATTTCAGTGTAGTTTTAATCTGCATTTCTTTCATGGCTAATGGACATTTAAAAAATGTTTGTAGGCCATTTACCCTTCATATTTTAAGAACTGTTCAATTTATTAGCCCATTCATTGATTGTGTTGCTTAGCTTTATTGATATTTAGGTTTTTGCTGAATTCTTTATATATTCTAGATATTAATCTTTTCTCAGTTAATGGAGACTTCCCCCGTTCTGTGAGCTATTTCCTTATTAAGTAGTTGCTTCTTCATCGTTTAGAAGCTTT